TCTCACACAGAATAATAGGAAATAACTTTTTTTTTCTCAACTAATTATTATGAGTATAAAGAGAAAAGTATATAATGTTCAGGTAAATAGAATAGATGATTCATGGGATAAAAATAAGAACCAAGGGACTGGATTTAACTGCTATTTTTAGAAGTCACTGACTTGTTGGTAGCCTTGGTTTAAGGAATTATTCATTGATCACAGGGATTTAAGCTGCATAAAGGAAGGCTTAGGAAATTCTTCAATGAAGCAGATGTAAAAGATAGAACTATAAGGCAGTAATATTATCTACAAGGTAATTTGAACAGTTAGTACAGTCCAGTGGTTTTAAAAACAAACATTTTGAATGAAACCTGTTTATACACATACATTTGCAGAAGTCATCCATAGCTCTGTAGGAATCATTTTCATATATTTCCTTGCAAATCTGAACAACTAGAGAAAATAATTCTTTGGATATTATTATTGGTTTGGCCCAAAAGACTAGAAAAAGTATTTATTTAGTATCTTATTGCTGTTTTCTGAGTCTGATGAATAATTTTATTATTTTACCTGAACTAAGTCTGCCTTTAAAAGGAACATGTGGATTCAACATTTATGCTATTTTCAAAATCCCAAGGGGACAAAAAATATTCTTTTAAATTCTAAACCAAAAATAAAAAGTTTTAAAAATCTTTAACATTTTTCCCCCATAGATTACTGATATAAAATTAATGAACCTTTTTAGTGAATTTTATTATTGAAATAAATCTAATGGACATAAATTTAGTACATCTATTAACGTGACACAGTATTGTTTCCGTAATTACTTTATCTTATTTTCTTTCTGTGTTCTTTTAGAGATCATCTATAGCTGGGTATTTAATGAATTCCCATCTTTTGTGGCAGAAGACAGCAGGCGTTTCATCTCTCAGGAGACAGGCAATCTCTACATATCCAAGGTGCAAACATCCGATGTTGGCAGCTACATATGCCTGGTGAAAAACACAGTGACAAATGCCAGAGTTTTGAGTCCTCCTACACCTCTGACACTGAGAAACGATGGTAAGAAAGGCATTATTTCTGGGTACTACATGAAAGAATAATACCTAAATATAAACACTCTAATTAATTTAAGAACCGTAATTTTATTGGTTTTGAGTATATGCATGCATTTTCTGTAGCAAGTGGCAAAGGGAAGTTGTTCATGGAGGCAATTTCTTTTAAAACATCCAGACATTGTGAGAATATTTAGATCTGCAAAGGTTGAAGTACAAACTGGCACCTCTTGGTGTATGTTGTTTAGAAGTTACTCCACCTTACTCTTCTGATGTTCTGTCACTGAAAGAGAGAAGCACATCTCCTTTATAGGCAATGTCTATTTCCTTAGGGCTCAGCTGAGTTGCCTCAACCCAAGTGGCTATTGCCACACTGATACTCTTGGGCACCTGAGACATCCACAGGGGACTGGCAAATGCCACATGGGGCATAGAGACCAGCTGCAGGATGTCAGGACATTCTTCATGTATTTGGCTGCTGTGGTTAAAGACAACATAAAAAAAGTTTCCCTAAATAAACTAGCAGCAAAAGGAGGGCTTGATGAGAATCCCCATCCTTTTCTGGGTGCACAATGTGCCCTAGTGTCAAAGGATGACAAAAAGTCTGAGATACTTTGTGCCTTCTTTGCCTCAATCTTTAATACCAAAAGCAGTTGTACTCAGGATACCCAACTCCCAGAGCTGGAAGTTAGGGGTGGGGACTTGAGTGATACTCGCATAATCCAGGAGAGAATGGTTAGTGATCTGCTATGCCAAATAGATACCCACAAGTCCATGGGTCTGGATGGCACTCACCCAACAGTAATGAGAGAGATGGTGAAAGAGCCCACCAAGCCTCTCTCAATCATTTACCAACTGTCGTGATTATCCGGAAAAGTCCCAGTTGACTGTAAAATAGCAAATATGAACATCTACAAGAAGGATCAGAAGGACGATCCAAGTTCTGGATTCTGCATTTGGGTCACAACAACCCCAAGCAGTGCTATAGACTGGGAGCAGAGTGACTGGAAAGCTGCACAGCAGAAAAGGACCTGAGGGTGCTGGGCAGCAGTGGCTGAACGTGATCCATAATGTGCCCAGGTGGCCAAGAAGGCAGATGGCATCCTGGCCTGGATCAGCAATGGTGTGGCCAACAGGAGCAGGGCAGTGATTGATTGTCCTGTTTACTGAGCACTGGTGAGATCACATCTGAAGTATGTGTCCTGTTCTGGGCCACTCACTTGAAGAAAGGATATTGAGGTGCTGGAGTGAGTCCAGAGAAGGGCAGTCAAGCTGTAGAGGTGTAGAAAACACATCCCATGAGGAGTAGCTGAAGGAGGTGGGATTGTTTAGCCAGGAGAAAAGGAGGCACAGAGAAACATTTATCACCCTCTACAACTGCTGAAAGGAACTTGCAGACAGGTGGGTATCAATCTCTTCTGCCATGTCTCAAAGGAACAGATAAAATGGCAAATATTTTCCTTCTTTCCAAGATGTTCCACATTTGGTTATGCTTTCTAGTTCCTCACAGCAATTCAGCACATGTGAATCCATACATACATAAATCAAAGAGAGAAAGAGAGAGAAACTTTTGAGTTTTCTTTTGTCTTATAGCTTTTTCTCCAGTCAATATTAGTCCTGATACAAACATGTTACAAACTCTGGATTTCAACACAGATGATTTAGTTTAATAGAGTAAATTTAAAATATGTTCACCAATTAGAATGAAATTAACTTAATGTTTGCTCATTCTAGCAAGTTTAAATTTCCTTGTGTATGTAACCTCTGCAGCTGCATGTAACCTCTGCAGCAAAATGACGCTTTTTTAATTAAGGACTTACTATTTTCTTTTGCTGGTTTAGTACCTATGTTAATTATTGAGTTTCAGGTGTTTAATTTTACTGACTTAACATAGCGAATCCATATAAATTATCTTTTTGATAAAATTAATTTTTATTTGGTTTTGTCTTGTGCAGAAATTCAGCAGATTAATTTTCCATCCTGTACTGACTGTACATAGGCACACAACACACTGAAAGAAATTGAGAGAGTAAATAAGGATAAAGACAGCAGTCTACATCACTGAGCTAAGAAAAAATATATGGAGGAAAACTCTGCAGATTTTTTTAAATGTCAAGTGGGTAGTAAATACCAGCCTCCAGCAAATTTTTTTCACGGCTGGCTGTCACACCACTGTGATAATCCAACCTTCTGAACTGTGCTGGACTACTGGGGAAGTGTTTGCACATAGATGAACAGCTCCTCAACAGTTTCCCAGTTTCCTGACTCATTTTTTCACACACATGAATTTCTGCTAGGCTTCCATACCTTAATTTTAATCTGTTGGTATTTATGAAAAGCTCCTCTCTTGTCTTTAGTATTTCTCAGTAAATTGCTTGCTTTCCTGTATGACTGAGCAAGTTTCTTAGTGAAGAAACCTCAGCTTTCTACCTAACCTTGCAGTCTCCATAAACCTACTTTGAAAAAACTGTTAAGGAAAATACTGGTTGCTAAATCATATTATTTGGTCATCTGGTTCTACCTCCTCCATGTAATGCAATAATATGGGCCATTTAAAAAAAATCCAGGATTATAATAAAAAAATTTTCATAAATCATACTTTACTTTTTAATTTTCATAGAAATAGCCTTAGGTAACACTGCCTTGTCTGTTGACAAATATTAAAGGGTGATGACAGCCTTTTTAAAGTATGCATTAATTATTTGCCAAAATACAGAATAACTGCTGGAAAGTAGTGCTAACTAGTTAAAGAAAATTAATTTATAAGGAAAGAAACTACTGGGAATAGACAACAAGAGGAAAGTGAGAATTTAAAAATGGCATTAAAACAAACATCAAATTACCTGAAAATATACTTGACTCTGTGTTTGCTGAGTTGTGTTATATATTTTTAAATATGGCTTTTAAAGCTTTTTGGTTTTTTTAATGTCATAAAATGACTTGAATTACTTTGAACTTTTCAAATACTCACTTAGGCTTAAAAGTAATCCATCTTTCTGAGTTCCGATGGTTGGCATCACAACTGACGTTACCCTAAGCAGTCAGCACATTTGTTAGAAACCACAGGAAGAGCTTGTGGTTTTAAACAGCTTTTACAAATAGCTCTATATAAATAAAACCATTTATATAGCCTGTATTCTCCAAACATATATATCATTAACTCCAAAATACTCTAATTGATTTATTTATCATCATTCTTAGATTTTGATGTATATACAGTACCTATGCCCAGGGGACTAGACAGCTTGTGACAAAGAGCACTTCAATAGCAACATTGGTCTCTATTTATCTATGAGAAGGAAATGGAATAATATTAAGGCATTCTGTCAAACTCTGAAAGATTGTAAGAACTTACTGTGATTTTATTAATCTTTTATTTCTTCTGCAATGTGTCTCAAAGGGGAGCTTAGCTGCTTGATATGAAGCAAATTAAATAAAAACATCAAGAAATCCTTCAATAGATTCTGAATAAAATGAGTACCTCATTTGTTCAGACATCCTTGACAATCATTCATTTCATATAATTCAATTTCACTTCAAGCTAGCTTATAAAAACACCCTAAAATTTTGAGGAGATAAAAAGTTTTAGCAGGAAATAAAAAATATGCATCATTTCCCTAACTGCCCTTTAATGCATTACAAACTTTGAGGAAATATTTGATAACTGTTTACAAATAATAAACAGCTTTGTTAAATTGTATCTTCACAGGCTTGGTTGCTGATTCGGAGCAGTAAATTATTTTAATAAAAACTTCTGAAAATCTGTTTAAATTTAGGAAATAGAAACCTAGGGAGTATAAACATTTGCACATTCAGTGCATAACACACTTATTTCAAGTTTACACATTTTTATTCCAGTTTTTCTTACTTTTTTTATCCTTCTTTGGAAAATATGTTGTATTTGGAAAATATGTTAACTTTAACATTATTACTGTACACTAGCAAATTACATAATTCTTCATTTTAGATCTGTGCAAATATGCAGATTCACTTAGCTGTGGTGAAATTTCCAGAGTTTAAAAAAAAAGAAAAATATTAAAAATAAAAGAAAATAACAACAAACCTGTACAATTTCAGACATCAGAGGATACTTTGTACTATGTTCCATTAGAGCAAATTAGTTTAACCTGATGTTAACTTTGATGTTGGTATGTCTGACCAGACATACCATGTAACTGACTTTCAGATTTTTTCCATGTCTTTGTAGTCTGTGAACCAGTGAACTGAATTTTGTCTGTCCTCATTCTATTGATTAATTCAATGTGATTAATACTCTCACATAGAACATATAGCTATTGAGGTATTAAGGATGTTCATTTCTAATTTTCCATTATGAAATATGATCTGCATATGCTTTTTGAAGTTAAACTCTGGGATATATTGCTTGACATGACTAGATTATCTAAAGATGTCTTTACCAGCATGGAAGAAAATTTGGAAGAAATCATAGCAAATTCCCAAATAATAGAAATCAAGCCATAAAATAACCCAGTGTAGCATAATAAGGTAATAAACAAAGATAGAACAAAGTTTGCAGTTTCACAGACTTAGCTGTACCCATCCCCAAAGAATGCTGACAGTTATTAATTAACTGATACCTAGAATTTTTTTAAAATTTCTTAAAGATTAACTCTTATGGTTTTGACCTGTCATTCCTTGCCTCTCTCTGGTGTTTATTTTTAATTTTTTTCCAACCTTTTTAGTAGTTTTGTCCTCTAATGGGGTTATTCATATGGAGCTGAATTCTAGAAGACAAGAAAGTGTGAATTTTAATAGGGATTAAAATGTATATTCAGCTGTGACTTAATTATGCTAGGTTTTCTGGATTTTCCAGTCTTGGAAACTTCCTGTTTCCTGTGGGTTATATTGCAAGGTTTTGCAGTAACATTTTGTATTTGACTTGTGTTCATAAAAACTGTACAGAAACTGTAGGAACTCTTCTTATTCAGTATTCCAGGGCAGGAATCAAACCTGAAATAATCCTCCTTTGGTTTTTTTTGGTTTTTT